GGGCTTTCAGAACGGCCCTGCGAGCTCCAGGGGGATGGAGAGAGCACACGGAATCACGGATGGTTTAGGTTGGAAAGATCACCCAAATTCAGCAGGGACATTCCAGCCGAGCAGGGCGCTCCAAACCCCGTCCAGCCCGGCCTTGGGAACTTCCCCGGGCAGAGAAATCTCTCCGTGGCACATTCCTGGCAGAGCCACTGCGCTCCTCGCAGCACACGGAGCAGACGGGGCTGTTGTTGGTTTGTTGAGCTGTGGAAATCACCTTGGAAAGAGCTGGGATCCTGCTGAGCGTGGCAGGAAATGCCCCTGAGGGAGCCAAGGCTCTGCTCGGCCAGGAAAGAACCTTCTCCTCCAGCAGACACCACAAATTCCTGCGCTGCCAGAGCTGGCAGCACCCTGTGAGCGTCCTGGRCTGTCTGTGCCCTGCTCCTGCCCCAAAAACCCCGTTCCCGTTCCTCTCTGCTGCTTTAGCAGAGGATGCTGCGTGGCCACAGATTGAAACATGAGAATAGAACAAAACTCTCTCGGCTTTGGCTTTCCAAAGCTCAGGGTCAGAAAATGCCACTCATCCTTCCTTGGACAACTCCTCCCGCATCCCTTCAGCAGCCACTGACTGCTCTGCTTTCCAGAACCTTCTCTGAAGCCAGACATCCTCTGTGCTGGTATCCCAGACAGTGTTGTAAACTCTTAACTCCATCAATACCAGGCACTGCACAAAAACAAGGAAAAAACCCAACCCAAACCCCTAAAAAATTCCAATCAGCCTCTCAGTCTGTGCTGAGCTAATTGGGTCTCTCAGAATGGCTCTGCAAACATTTTGGGCAAATATTTAAAGCGGTCTCTTCCCCACAGACCTTCCCCCTGCACCTCTGTGCACAAGCAGCCCTTTGCAGAGGATATTTGCCAGGCTGGGAGGAGGGGATGAATTTCCCCCTCTGTGTGGTTCTTTTCTGCATATTTGGGATGAACTCACAAGTTTTGTTTTCTGTACTAAATTCCATCCTGGAGCCCAAAATGACAGAGTCACCCAGCGGTTGTGGCTGCTCGCTGGGGGCAGGGGCAGCACAATTCACTGCTGGGTGGGAAGAATGCAGGAAATAGAGGCAGCTGCACCAAAATAACGCCAGCCTGGACTTCCAGCCCATAATTACAGACAGAACCCATCAGGGAGCCCGGGGCTGGCGGCTCCAGGCTCACATGGCTTAGCCACATGTCTGGAGAGGGCTCCAACCTCCCTGTGATCCTGAATCC